TCAGTCCTGATCAGCAAAAGTCCATTAAGGGTTACCAGAGATAACAACACATCTATTTTAATCTTGATCAAATAAACCAACTTTATATTCCTTCCTTTTACTTCTTTTAACAATCTTGATCTTTAACCCCTTCAAATAATGTCCTAGAACTTTATTTCTTTTCATTTTTTCTTTGTCTCTTCTCACAAAATCCTTCAAAACTTTAACAAGTCTCTTTTGTAAATCCAGTATAGAAAAGTTATCCAGATCACTCTTTTGGTTTATTATTTATATATCCCTTTTAATTATTAAGACATCAGCCAGTTTCGTTTGTATATCCAGTCTAACATCTTTTTCCATATCATTCTTGTAGCCTGTCATTTTTAAATCTACTTTCAGATCAGTCTCCGTCTTATCTGGTAAAACTTATTCCACTTCCATAACATCTTTTAAACACAGTCTGTCTATAATGGCAGACACTCTTAAAATTAACTTCTGGGTCCATTGTTCACAAATGTCCTTCAATATGTTGAATGTTAAAGTTTTTTGCTCCATTCTGTATTAATAATTCAAATTTAAGTGTTCTTCTCCTTCAATTGTAAACTTTTGTTCCTTCTGGTTCCCTCTAGTGTCCAATCTTCAAAGTCCCATCCTTTTTTTTTTTTTTTTTTAAGAATTCAGAACAACAGCATGTCCCCATGGGAAGGATTTTTATAATTAATTTCAAAATCTTATTTCAAATCCATTTGGATCCTTAGTTTGTTTGTAACTTTCCAAAATCAATGTTCTAAGCACCATTTTGCTATTTATTCCAAAAAAAATTTTTTTTCAAGTCCTTAAACTTGTATTTAAAACTTCTTTTGCTAAGGATTGAAGGAAGCTCACCCAGTTCTTTAAAATGTGTCATTCCAAATGTTCCTAATAGCTGAAAAGCAGTTAATAAACAATTTCCAAAAGTGATTGGAAAAGGAAGTATGTGAACCCTGTGTCCATAAAGATGCTGACCACAGTTTGGGCAAAGATGGCATTTCCTCATCTCCCAGAGCTCTAAACCCACTGGAGACCACTCTCTTGCAGTCTCCTCATGAAGAGCAACTGTCTGGAGTATTTGTGAGTGATCCCGTCCTCTCTTTGCCTGGAGAGGGATCATGTAGAGTAAGGCCACTCACTGGCTCTTCATTTTGCTGTGGTCATCAGTTCCATTCTTAGTGGAGCTGTCTTCAGTTCACCATTTCTTCCCCAGAAGTCATAAACCATCAAGTTTGTGATAACTCAGAGGTAGAACAGCAAAAGAAATATTACATGCTAGTATTCCAATATTGTTCCTGTATATCATAATGAAATTTTCAGGCTGTTTCTATATGAAGCTCAAAATTTACTGTTAGAATCAGGTAATTGCTTCGTTGTTGTTTTTTTTAAATCTTAGTTTCATTTTCTTTTTCTAGAATGTAATGCTTATGTTTATCAAGATGTATCAAATGTACATTCTTTTTTTTTTTCTTAAGTGGAAAGTGCTTCTCCCACATTTAAGTGAGCAGATCTGATTCTTGCCATTACTGCTGATCTACATTATCATTCTGTGAATATAAGTGAATTTATGTTACACACACTCACAGAGACACACAGAGAGAAACAGACATATATAAAAGTAATGAGCTCCTCCTTGGTAGTAGAGTTTGGGCCAGCTATCAGTTCATGTTCAAATAGTTCCTTATCCCCTCTGCACATGTAAAATTGGAATTTTGTCAGATCCTGGTCCTGCTGCCAGCTTGTCCATACAGAATAGGACTGAGCTCTGTCTGCGATCTAGCTTTGAGTGTGCAAGCCTAACTGCTTGCACACAGAAAACCTGAACAATGTAGGGAGTGCCATATGGAGAGTACAGCTCCCATGCCCAATACTCCAGTTTGAGAAGATAGTGCGGTATGAAGCTGGAGCATGTGGGTGCACCATGACATGCCAAACTATTAAATAAAACGTTTGTTAGGCCACCCAGTTCAAGCAGCTGTCCTCTGGTGCACAAAGCAGGAAGAGAGAAGAAGGAAGAAGAACAGCCAGTGGCTGCAAAAAGCCACACGTGCAATTCTCCCTTCCCCATGCATGACTTCATTCATTCATATGTACATACATACATACATACATACGTTCATTGTATAACCTGCTGCAATCACCAGATTCTTGGTGGTTTACAGTAATGAAACGTGTGTGTGTGTATGTATCTCCAAGATAAAAAATTAAGATTACCTAATTATAGGATTATAAAACTCAAAGACCATAGTACCATCATACATCCTAGGGATCATATGTGACCATAGGTTTATAATAGTTTCTGGAAGGCCAGAACTGTAAGGGCTAACCTCAGTTAAATGAGAGGCTATTCCAAATTACAGGGGCTGCTAAAGAAAAGCAGCAACTATAAGTCTCCACAGTAAGTACCTCATGGAAATGGGGACTACCAGCATTTTCTGCCATGGCAAATGAGTCATGAGAATCATTTATTCCTCTCCCACATTGGATCTTAATCCATGTGTAAGACAGCAGCATTCTTCTTGAATTATCTGCTCATAGAATCCTGGATCCTGGAAAGGAAGAGGACAAGAAAAAGGCAGAGGCTTCATGAGATGCTCTCCAAATCAGTTCATCCCACCACCTCTGTTTCCAGAGCCCACTTTTCCTAGATGCCCTTCTTCTCCCTGAATGCACCATTCCCTTTCCTGACTTCCCATTATGCTCTTTATGTGTCTCCCTTTTCCCTCTTACACCCAGTTTTGCAGAACTAGCCAGTATTGCATGTGCTCTCACTCTCAACACATACACACACAAAGAGGTTCTGTTCTTTGCAGTACAATGCCAGTACCTTATACAATCCAAGCCTGTCTGCACAGACGTGTTACTCATCTAGTATGATGCCACTCTGCTCAACATCTCACTAAGGCAAGAAAAAGGTAAAGCAGCCCTTCCTTCCCTTCCCTTCCCACAGCCACTGACCTGACCTGCTTGCTGATAGTCAGCTATCCCACTTCCCATGCAAGATTGGTGCAGGTTCTGAAATCCTCTTTGTAGAGCCAGGTGAAAAGGGAGTGTTCATAGATGCCAGTGGGCCCTGGACATCAGGCTTACACATGCAAAACTGAAACCCTGCTGGATCCTGGTTTGTCCAATTAGAGTGAGACCAAGTTCTCGCAGTGATCTGGCTTTGCATGGGCAAGTCTCCCAAATTTCTAATCCCCTTCACCTCTGCTCTCAATCTACAAACAATCCCCTAGATAGTTTGTTCCACTGTCTATGAACTACTTGCCTATCCCATTCTATTCCAGAGGATCTACTAAGCCATGGAAGCAGCTTTTAAGGAATGTAACAGAGGCTTATGTAGATAATGGGGATTAGGAAAAAGTGGGTGTCTTTACATATAAGTAGAAACTACCATTCAGTGTAATACTAATTAAAATGGAGTACTGTACATTGTCGTTCTGACTGTAAATGTCATAAAACACTTTCCCTCAACCTGCCCTCCAGATGTTATCAGACTAAAGCTCCCAGAATTCTCAGCTGGCATTAACTTTAGCTAGGATTTCTAGCAACAGAAATCTTAACACACATGGATGCTGCTGCAGAAGGCTGGCTTAAAATAAAGTAGAAGAACAGAAACTGGGTAAATTGATTCTGTCATCTGTAGAATCAGATTTGCTAATGGAAGAATATGCCATAAACAAGCCTATTGAGGATCCTGCAAAACTTGGAGCCCTAAGAAGGAGAAGATGGATTTTACAGCGGAATGCAGAAGAAATGCTTCCTAAACACTCTGCACAACATTCTACAGAAGACAAAAGAACAATTCCTCTTAGGGAAGTAGGTGGGTTCAAGTAGAAATACTTCTTTTTCCAGCCATGTACAAAACTGAAGATGTTGTTCATTTGAGTACTATAGGTCATAGTATTTCTGCATATTTGTCATGCAGGCTTTTCTTGCTTGCCCTTATGCAACAAATACAGAATATTTCAACATAAGTATAAGTGGTGCAGCTAAGTGTAAATAATGCTCAAGGAAAATGCTGTTGGCATACAGACCCTTATATTCTGAATAACTGACATAAACTATTTGATATATCATTTATGCAGATATGTCTGTATTTTTTCTTCTGGAACCACTATTTTTAAATTCTGAAATAATTATCTCAAATTGAAAGCTATTTCACTTAATTTTCCAGAATACTGAAACTGTTCTTGCTATATGAGTCATACCAGATTGAATAAGAATTGCATATGGCCATGTACTAACTGCTTTAAAAGATAATTGAATATTTTGAAAACCATATGACAGAGTTTAGTGTAGCATCTCCCCTTGTGCCCCCCGCCCCCCAGATTTTAGGTAATTTAAGTGACAGCATTTGGTGACCTTGGCTGCTCTCAAAAAAACTAAACAGGGTTCTGGTCTGGCTTATGGATGGGAAACTATACGAAATACCAAGCTGTAGGCTAGAATAGGAATTAAAAAAAAAACATAGAAGGCAGAGACAAACCACTTCTGTTCTGTTACCAAGAAAATGACATGGGCATGTCCATGTAGTCACCAGGAACCAAGCTGAAGTCAAGGGAAACTTTATTTTCTTAAGTTCAATAAGCATCAAGGTCAGGCAAAACCTAGAGCTGTTTTCCTGCTGTTGAGGAGACAAATCTACAGCAAAGGGATTCACCAAAATCAGGTTAATTGAATTCCAAAAGATTAATATTATAAAGGTATTTTCCTTGCTTAACAGGAACAAAGAAGAATGCTACAAATAAAACCATCACCATCATCATAGTGGCAATGAGCATCTTGTAAGTAATTGCTTTATACTTCTTTGGTTTAATGCTTCTTACGGCGGCTAAATACTAAGAAAAAGTTAATTTATCCCACTGATATTTGAGTCTATTACATATGGAGACTGACATTGCAGATGGACCTTTTCTCAAACCATGAGAGAAGGGAAGATAAGCTCCTCCTTATGGGTATAGTGCACTTTAAGAAGTGATTTGAACCCCTAGAACACCAGAGAAAAACTGTTGTACAGAGAGCCATCAGGAATAGAAGAAGCTCTATGCTTCAAACCTTCACTGGACATGAGGATGGTGGTGGAAGTGGAAATACAGGCTGTTTCTCAGCCTCTTCCTATTAATTTCTGATAAATAGCTTTTTAATGCCTAGAAATGTCTTTAGTCATTAGCCTGATAATTAGCTGCTCACCATTCTAATCTTCAGGATCCTGTTTCATGCCACAAATGAGAACCTGCAAATTTGTAATCAAGAGACAGAACTACTTCAGCTCTCTCACAGATGCACTGGTCCATACCCTTGTTTGATTTGAGGGAAGGCAGGAAACCATAATATTTTTCTTCTGTCTATAGAATGTGTCTGCAAAAGAGAAAGACTCTCGCCATTTCTCCAACAAACCCCCAGGACTGCTTAGAAAGTGTCCACATGCAAGCACCCTGATTGCCAGGAAATACAGGCATAATTTGTTTATATATCACAACAATCTATACAAAGGAGCATTTGCAGTGTGTGGGGGAGACCAGGTTCAAGTCTACCCTCAGTGAAAGAAGCTCACTGGGTGACTCTGGGTCAGTCATTCTCAGCCCTGTTGAGATAAGCAGGATGGTTGTTATGGGGGAAAATAGAATGGGAATGTTTTGTATGCTGCCTTGAGCTTCTGAACAAACAAATAATCATACTGAAATAGAGTACCTAAAAACTGTACAAAGGAAAATGCAGAATGTAACTGTCTTCAATTTCACACACGCAATCTCTTAATTTGCTTCATTACCAATGTATATCTTATGACCCATACCACACATAGATATATTTGCATCCTGTCTTTCCTCCAAAGTGATCAAAGTCAGTTATAATGGTGATTGTCATATGTTATCCTGACAACATATATAAGGTGGATTGGTCTGGGAAGGTGGAAGGAAGGATATTTAGCTGACTGAATTTTATTCTGTTCTATATGATCTTCAGAGCAGATTGCATGGGATCAATTCAGTGCATTCACAGCATGCTTGCATGCATCCCAACTCAGTGTGGGAATGCTGGGTGGAAGGATAGGGCTGATGTATATGGTCTTTCCATGTACAGAATGAAAGAGCTCTTGTATGGGACTCTAATGTACTTCATAGCCCATGGCTAAAACATGGTTTGTATCGTTTTACTATATGCACCTGACCTATTCAGAAGCTTTAATCATCTTGATAAGTATGTCAGGAAACTGTAAATATTTGTATTATTTATTTTTTTGTTCTTGCCATTAAGATGCTGTTGCAAGAATCAGAAATGATAATGAAACTGTTCATTATCTCTGTGTATTTTTTTTCCAGCTTAATTGTACTGGTTTTTCTGAATGTGGCACTGTTCCTCAAACTGTCAAAGATCGAGTGTGCAGCTCAATCATTTTACCACGTTCAGCTTCAGGAAGAAGGGTCAGCAACGTGAGTGGGTTTTGTTGTTGTTGTTGTTTTGTCATTTGTCTCTTCCTCCATGCCCACAGTTGACTAATATCTAGTTAGTGGAAATGTACAACTTAGCAAAAATACTTCAAAATTGTTCCAAAAGTTCTGTATTGCAGTTGGAATGCTACCAAACCAAGTCCCAAATGGTTTTACTGACATATAAAGCTCATTAAGCTCTTGGATCAGGATATCTGATGGATAACTTTCTCCACGGAGATCCAACAGGGATAGCCCCTGGGTGGTATTTCATTTGTCTGAGATTTGCTGTGCAGCCACCTAAGAAAAGCACTAAGTCTCTCATAAAGCTACCAGATTCTCTTACAGATAGTGCTGAGTTTTGTTAATTTTTGGTATTGACTGATGATCTATCATCCATCCAGGCTTTTGTAAAACTAAGGCTACTGCATTGCTTAGAGTTTTTGTTTTTATGATTTCATTTTATAATTTCATGTGTTACAACAAATCCAGTAAAACCATATAAAATTGTATTGTAGCCCAATTTTTTTTTGTTTTTTTAATATGGCACAAGGCAAGCTCTGTTTGTAGTGTGCCATATGGTGGTGGTGGGGTCTTTTGTGTTCTTTGTGGTTAGCATTTTTTGGAGCAAAAAGATTGTGAGTGACTGTCATGGTGATAGGGAGATACAGTGGTACCTCGGTTCACGAACTTAATTCGTTCCGCGACTCTGGTCGCAAACCGAATTGGTCACGACCCGAGTCAAATTTT